GGGCAACCCTGGAGGCGGCTTTCCATTGTGAGACAGCACCGTTTGGTTCTGAGCAGCTGCTTCTCTTAGTGCTGAAGAGGTCACGATGCATAAACTCAAAGAGGTGGCTGGTGAGGAGCGTTGTGAGCTGGCCAACTGGCCAATTTCCAAAGGAGCAAAGCTTTAATTTGTTCGCCCCGGTAAACTATGTCCAACGGTCCCAGCATGTACGATCAACATGTGCATTGGGGGAAGTGGCTTGCTGGAGTTGAAGGAATGGTTTGGAGCACGTTCCCCAGATGCAAATTCAGGGCACTGTTTGTTTTTGTACCTTTTTGGGGGCGCTTTTAACGGGAACCAACAGAAAAGCCACCGTTAGGGGTCCACTGTCCCCATATTTTAACGCAAACTCATCTCCATTGAGAATCAGAGGAGCAACCTTTCATAGCCATGCTGCGCGATGATCCTGAACTCCATCTTGGGCCGTGATGCTCACGCAGCCGGTGAACAAATGTGTTAGTGGAGGCGTGAATTCGGGATAATGTTCGGAATTGCTCTGGAGGACAATCACCCTTGATCATGGTCCGGCTGCGAGAGCCGTTAAACTGCAAAGTTGGAAGCCGTGGCTTCAGAAACCACTCCACACGTGAGCGGATGGTGACCTTGGTCTTGAGTGTGTGCTTGTGTCGTATGTGTGGAGCCTTTTGCACAATCCAGTTGCCAGTGTGTTGATACAAGTCGGTTGGCTTGTGCGATCAGTGCATACAGTAGTTGGATGACAGCTTGCCAAAGCAACATTGTTTGAAAAGCCTTCAGTGCTTCAATCAAACTCCCGACCAATGCCTGTTTCAATTACTGCACCTTCGGCCTTCGTATATTTGTCCGAGGCGTTCCCTGTTGGTGAATGTACCATTGAATATCGCATTGCTCGTGCTTGCTGGATCCAATGGATTCAGGGTTTGTTGGCTCAAGCATTGGTTTTTCCGGGTTGATATGTGTATGTGCCAGAAGGAGGATAAGGGCGCCAAAAGAAAGCCAGCCATTAATAAATCACAATGGTGGCGCCCACGCAGACGCATACACACAGACACAGCCACGCAGACACACAGACACAGACACACATGCACACATATACAGACACAGACCCACACACGCGTGCAGACAGACACACGCGCACAGACACACATATATATATATACAGACACACACACACACGCACACACGCGTACACATACAGACCGGCGCATCGACAGACACAGACACACTTACACAGACACACACACACACACAACCACACAAACACACCGACATGTACACGCACAGACAAAGACACACACACACAGACACACATGCAGACGCACACACACACACAGACACACGCACACACACAGACACAGTCGCAAACGCACAGACACAGTTGCAAACACACAAGCGCAAACAGACATAGACACAAATACCTAGGCGCACACACCCAAACACACAAAGACACACACACACACACCCTCCCGCCCGCCCACACACGCACGCATGCAAGCACGCACGCACGCACGGGCACATACGCAAGGCAGCACCTGCCAGCAGCTGTCAAGGCTTCAACGACCCCTGACATCCCCGTTGCATCTGTGACGACGCTATAATCAAGTTCTTTTAATAAGAATGATCCTCTATGAATTCCACTTTGGAATCGTCCTGGCGTGCGATGCCTGTGCATGTGCGGCGCCTGTGCGCCTGTGCGCCTGTGTGCGCGTGCGCGTGTGTCCGAGCGCGTGCGTGCGTGCGTGCGTGCGTGGTGGTGGGTGTGCGTGTGGGTGTGGGTGTGGATGTGCGTGTGGGTGTGGGTGTGGGAGTGTGTGTGTGTGGGTGCTGTCCAGAGGGGCGGGAGGACCCTAAAAACGTTTGGGGCTGTTTTTTTTTCTTCAGTTGAGCAGCTCTACAACCCCCCGTTACATGCCAAGCAAGGGTTGTGTCATAACAAGGTCCCGCGTAAGCAAAACCCTGCACGGCGTAAGCCGACGTAAGGACTTTTGGGGGAAACATGCTGCGTAAGCACCCGCGTAAGCTCATCTTCGTGATTGCTTGGTAAGCGTTGTCAGCATGCTCGGAAGAGTTGCGTTTATGCGTTTATTGGTGGCTTGTGCTGTTGCAACCTAGTCGAGCTTGGCAACTTGCCCGGAGACTTTGGCTACAGGAAGACGTCTAACACCGCATGTGTCACACCAGTAGAACAGAACCTTGATTGCGAGCTCGTGAAGCTCATGCTACGTGCTGTTGCAACCTTTGCTAGGACAAACAAAGGCTTCTCAAACCGCTGCTCTAGAACAACAAACGGGGCTCGGGCGCGTAAGCTCGCGTAAGCAAGCGCGTAAGGTTCGCGTAAACTCGCCTAGCTGGGCTGCCCGCTAGCCCTCGCGATGGATGCCGCTGCTGCATAACCCGTTTCTTGACTTGCAGCAAGAACAACAATGCCAAGCCACTGAAGCTCGTGAGGGTAGTTCTTCGTTTTCTTCTTCCTCAGAGTCATCCACATCATCTTGAACAGATCTGGCGGCTGCATGAGAAAAAGGAGCTCGCGTAAGCAATTCTTGAGGGGAAACGCTCAAAACGCCCACGTGTGAGCCATGCGTAAGGTTAACACGCTCGCTGACTGCCGCGGAAGCTAAAACATGGGTCGCGTAAGGAAAGCGCAAGCCCGCGCGTAAGCAACTTGATGCGACATAGGGATTCATGGGAGGTTTATAGAGTCGCTCAGTTGTTTGCACTTGATGCAGGTATGCGCCAAACGGAGTTGGACCCTCCAAGCAGTGAAAGGAGTCTTTTTTTTGACGTTTACAACATGGCGCCTTCTTTATCCCAGCCTAATTCGACTTAGTTGGGGAGCTCAACTGCTTCTGCGGCGAGGGGGTGGTTTCATTGGTAGCCAGAGCGACAGTTGCATTTCCGTGCGGGAAACGCTGTGGCAACACGACCAGCGCAACTGCCCGGCAAGCATTCTACTGGCCACGAATTGGACTACATCCATACATGCCTGGGTGTGTGTTTGGTTTGAGTGAACGTATTTCAGCCTGTTTAAACGCCATTTTGGGGTGACCCTGTTTGGACACAGACACACACACACACACATACTTTGCGTTATTTTGGAAGCAAGCATTGCCCATCTCACACCAGGACTGTTTGCATCTTTGAATTCACATTAGCAGTGGACAATATTGCAGGTGAACGATGTATTTGCAACCGGTTTTGATTGTTCCCATTGGGTTTTCCGGATTGGGGCATCGGGTGGGACCCTCAACAATTGACAGGCATTCACATGCAATGGGAGGGCCTGATATTGCAGCGAGTCGTGCCGCCACTCGCGTCGTGTGCGGGACAAAGCTCCCATCGATGGCCCATCGGTCCATCTTGGTACACCTCGTTTAACAGCAGAGGTGATTGCCAGCTTTGGTCTCTGGGGCCCTTCACACTATGCTGGAACCGATCGATTGCTGGCTAGATAGGGTGCACGCTTGACAACTGCCATCGTTGCAGCTTCAAACATAGCAACAATGGCAAGAAGATTGTGAATGATGAATGCAGCCCCCAAACCATACTCTCAAACCATACCCGGAACTGAACCTCCGAATTATACCCCCTACACCAGGCACATGAAAACCAAAGAGGTATCAACGGACCATCAAAAGACACGGGTGTGTGTCAAGTCTAAACCACTAGGGGACCGCAGATTTTAGTCCATGTCTCCATTTACCAGGGTTCCGTTTTGGGGTTACCCTGTTTTTGACCCACACCCACATTGGCTGGCAATTACCAAGGCCGCCGCGGCCTTGGCAGTGGATTAAGTCTAACAGGGTGATCTACACGCCCAAGGCGTGTGCCGCATCGATTTTTCCGCGGCGATCACGCCGGTTTTCCGAGTCTTCCGAAGGCGAGCAAGGCGCACTGAGCTCGACTTGGAAGACTGGCGTGCGTTTTATCCGGCTGCCATGCTAGCAAATTCACAATCTAACAGAATCCCAGTTGGCGCCCGCAAGGTTGGGGCTGTTGACGTTAGAGCCGCAGACGCAAAAGCGGATCGTTGCATTTCTTGTGTTTGGTTCCATCCTTGTGCATTGTTTCACCGCCCTCGGCATCCATCAGACGTCGGAATGCATCGGGTCAGAAAAGCGGCCTTGGCAACATGGGAGGAGAAGGAACGGACTGGGACAGTGGAAATGTATTGTAAAGGCCCGCGGCCCAGTTACGGGCACCCACATTGCCAGAGACCCCAAAGCCAATGCACAATGGCTCTACGCTGGTGATGCACAACGGCTCTAAGCTGGTGATGCAAGGGGTGTTGCTTGTTCTGCTGGGGTGTTGTGTGGAAGTTTAGAATTATAGAGCTTCTGAAGGCGCAATGGACGTTTTGTCTGGTGCGTTCCGTTTGCTGTTTATCGTACATCAATGTGTTTGTTGGGAGGGAACGGCATGCTTATCGCAGAAGAGCACCGCTTATATAGCTGAAGCCAGCAATCATGTACTATGCATCAAACGCCAGTACAATCAACCTTAATGATCAGCGATGGTGCAGCATGGGTCATAAGTCGTTGTTGAATTTGTTCATACATCATAATCATGAGCTAATCGGCAGGTCTAGTTCGCGTGCTGTCATGTTGGCATGTTGCTTTTGCGGTGTAACATGTTTTTTGCTCACCGATTGGTTGAGACGTTTCAGTACTAATAATTTTATGAGACTATGCGCATCTGGTTGCGGACGTTCTTTAGCCAGAAGGGTACTTGGCAAAATTTAAAGTGCTCCATTCCACATGGTCCTTCCCGCCAATGGCTGAACGCAGGCTAGTTCCAAATCGGAGAGCTTTCCGACTGTTCTGCAGGTGCCTTTAGTAGTCTTTCCAACACAAGTGTGCAGCCCGAATTCCTTTTGGCTATGTTCGAAGTTGTTCAATGGCACCTTAAACCCCCTTGTTTGGTAAGTTCGCGCCTGAAAACGGACGGGGGTGACCGTGTCACACCGGGAAAGACTTCCGCAGGTCACCCAGATGCCTTCTGTTCCCGCAGAGGCGGTGCTCACACTCGAGCTAGGCGCGTGCCTTTGATCGCGCCGCTCCCCTTTGTGTAGAACGTTGTTTTTCTTTGACCCCACCTTGTTGGCCAACCCGAAAGCCAACTGGAAGTCGAACAGGTTTGGGCTCGGTCGGCCAGTTTGTTTGGTTTACCCAGTTCTTGTATCTCTCGTGAACATAGGTTCGTGCAACTTGGAAGATCTGAGTCTCAAATTCGGCACCTTGAGCCATCACCCGGCCGAGGTGGCCGTGTGCTGGCCGAAAGCCGTGCCCATTGCCAGCAGGGCCATGCAAGATTCCAGGCGGGATGCCAGTGAGCAGCCAGTTGTTCCACGAACGGCCGATGTTTTTGTTTGCTTTTTTGTTTCCGATGTGATTTGTGCATGGCTGGATGTATTCGCTTCAAGCCCAACACGTGTCTCTTTGTTGACACAAATGCAAGTGCTGCTTTGCAAATAGATATTTGGTCAAGGTAGCCTGGCCGTTGAACGGTGCTGTGCTTCTCTACCTTGTCGGGATTTGCAAACGGGCACGCTTTGGCAGTCTCATTTGCATGATAATCATGGGATGGCGAGCAACCCGGGATGGCTTCCCTGCAAAAGGGAATCAAGTGCGAGCAATCTCTCAGGGACCCTTTCCCAGTTGCCCAGTGGTGCCTTTTTTCCCTTGTCTTGAGAAGGGTTCCTCACCAAGAAAGATTCCCTTTTTCCCATGGCCACTGGGCATTCTGAGCTTTAGCTGGGTCCTACCAAGCCGGGTTCCAACTTGCACGGGTCCGGGGTTTTCCCAGGAGCGTATGGCGCTCCAGATCCAGGGAGGAGGCAGCGAAGGCGCGGGGTGCGAGGACTTGAAGCAAGAGGGGGTTCTAGGGGTACCTTCCAGGGATCCGAATCTTTTCAGGAAGCCGAATCAGAAACCCAGGAAAAAAACAGAGCCGGTTTTTGAAAAGAAGGATGGGCGAAAAGAATGGAATTGGAATCCACCCCTAGAGGGGCGGCTCGCTGTTGTTACGGGGAACCCCTGCTCGGTTTCAAAATGAAACGCCAGCAGTGGCCCGCGCCGCCCAAGAATTCGGGATACCACACAGGGCCCCGTGTGCAGCAAACAGCGCGGAGTGCATACGGTACACCATCAGCTTGGAACTATGTCTCACTTCCTGAGTTCCTGGACTTTATACTTTTGGGGAAGATCGTACTCAGGAAGTTTGGAGTATTTGCGTGCCATCCACTGGGGAAGCGAGGTGTTCGGGCTTGATTGTACAACCCAAGAGGACGTGAATAGAGCCGGATTGCACCAGCTTTTTATTTTGTGTTATAGTGATCAGCCCAAGATGTTAGAGGCTGTTACAGCTAGATTGCAGCTATGAGCTTTCGCATGACAGCATCTTGAACATGACACTTGCTTGTCGTCATTGGCATTGTGCAAAGCAAGTGAGGTTGCACAAACACCCCGTTGATTTAAGTTTAGTATTCAGAGGTCCCTTGTGTCCAAAACTGCCATGTCTCACTCTCCCTTCAAAACGTCAAGGAGTCATGTGTGCAAAAACAAAAAGAACGATAACGATCGTGGAAATCGGCCTTGTCAGCTGGGAGAAACACAGCTTGTTGGATAGCACACAGGCCAGAAATCGGGAACAAAAACGACAACGCCTTGCGCATCAATTGCCTGTTGTACTTCGTGTACTACACTTGTACTGACAAGTTGTAATTTTCGCGATAGAGCTGCCAAAGTGTACTACACTCGAACTGACAAGTTGCAATTTTCGAGCAGGTGTACTGAGGAGTTGCACGTTTCAAGCTGGAGCTGCCAACATGTACTCCTTGTATGCTGCAATGCGATCAGGAGAAAAAACGTCACACCCCCCTAAGCATCTTTGGGCCCGCCAATCCAAAACCTCGGATGCGCAATGCGCATTCCTGTGCTTCGGCCCTTCACAGAACCTGCTTCTTGTTGGGCATTTCTGATTGGCAACAGCGGCCCTACAGCAGGGACACACCATGGAAACCTTCAAGGGTTGCCCTGTTGGACCAGGGCGCCGGGTGGGCGCGGATAGCCGTCGGATACGCGTCTCGGATACCCCAGTCAGACAACCTGTCAGCCCCTTCTTGACGTACCCTGAGGGCCCACCCCGTCGGATAGACGTCGGATACTCCCGTCGGAGACCTGATTGCTTTTAACGCACCCTCCCATCGAATAGGCGTCGGATACGTAAGAAATGGGGGTTTGGGGCTTTCAGGGTGGTGCCGTGCTTGGTACAAACGTGGAGTCACAGAAGCAGGGTAGTTTGAGCAGCACGGGGAGCAGGCTACAATACATGAAACGGGAGCATTCAACCACTTTCTTCTGCACGTTCAGCGCCGGCCCTGGTACTGGAGATTGTCATGCTCATGGACCGAAACCCCAGTTGAATGTGTGAAATTCTGCAATGGACAAGCAATGGACAAAAGGTGCGCATTCCCCAAGCAAATGTTCCTCTGATGTTTGTACTTTCTCCGCAGATGTCCGTACTTCTTCCGCAGAATTCCGTACTTGTCCTGCCGATTTCCGTGCGTTTCCTTCCGATGTCCGAGCATTTTCACTGTTTAAGCAAAAACTGCAAGCTTGCAAAAGCGGCAAGGAAGCTGTCACACGTTGCACAGACAATGACCTAAAGCGGAATGAAGTACGGGCCATACAAATTGCAAGCTGCGTTATCTAATTTAAGTTCATCCAGGAACACCACAAACGCTCGCAGCCTGCTAAAGGTGATTTCCGTCAAATGTCCTCAAAAGTGTTCATGCACATGTACGGAAATTTCCGTCACTTTCGGAGGGTGCAGGTATGTGCAGGTTTCGTGCGGTTCTGAGGCTGGATTTGCCCTGGGCGGCCAGTGAAAGTTTTATGTCATGGCCCCTTCTCCCATGCAGGGGAGGGCCCAAGGCTTTAACAGGCCCCCCAATGAATCGTGATGCTTAGGGCCCAAAAAAAGAACTCTAAAAGCAACTGTTTTTTGGCAACCTCATGGCTTGGCTGAAGCAGCGGCGCCGCGTATACCGCTCCAGCAACAGAGTTTAGCCATTGCCTTTTGCCTTTTTTTCAGCCATTTTTTCGTCGAAGGGGCGCTTGATAGATGTATTCCATCCAGAGTTCAGATGTCGAAAACCTCGCAGAAAGCGGCCCATCCGCACCCCAAAGTCGAAACTATGTGAAACAGTCAGTCTATCGTGAGCAAATGATCCGTGAAACACACGGGAAATCACGGGGTGTCGAAATGTCAGATGAGATGAGGCCAGGCTTTATGCACCAAATTTCGCCAAGCATCATAGACGTATTCTCATCCTGGCACCCCGTATGGCTGTTTTTTGTTCGGTCAAACTCCCGTATTTGGCCGTATTTGCCCGTATGGCCATGATTTTTCGGTCATTTGCGTAAATCACCCGTATGAAGCCCATATTTTTTCGACATGTTGTTGAAAAAAAAGCGTAAACAACTGTATGGCCATTTTTTTCGGTCAAAGCCGTATGACCAAAAAAAAACGGCCATATGGGGTCCCAGGATGCTATTCTCCCCGGAGCCAGAAGTCAACAGCGGGTGGGTGCCCAACTGTGCCACATCTCCAGGCCAGAGCTGCATGCTGCGGGTGAGCGCAAAGGCACGGGTTCCGCATGTTGGGCCAATGCAGTTTGTTTCAGTTCGGAATACTGACGCCTTCCCGCGCTACACCACACACCTGGGGCAGCAAGGGAGCAAAGGATGGGTGGAGGACGTCGTATTCAACTCAAGTGGCGGCTGGTGCTGATGTGGGCCACATCAGCCCGTGAAATTGCAACGGATATAATCTCTTTAAGTACCAAAGAGGACCGCCATTCTAACTTTGCAAAATAAGCACTGCAAAACGTGGCCGCAAAGAGGTAATCCCATGAAACACGGTTGGCGAACATGAGTCCTCGTGCAAGTGTCCACCCAAAAGTCCAATCACCTGAAACTCGCATCCCCTGATTCTGGGCTTCAAGTTATTGGTAGTATCGGTTGAGCGTAACATCAGAGACTTCTTGTGACCAGCTCACTCAGGGCACGAGAAGTTCACCCCCGAACTGTCCGGAGGAGTTCAGCGCGGAGGTGGCGTTCACCACGAAGGAGAGAGCTGTGGCGTGGGCCCGCGCGTACAGAAATAAGACCTTTTTTAAGACCATAAAATGGTCTTATTTCTGCCCTTATTTCTGTACGGAAGGGTGCGTGCGCGCGTGCGTGCGCGCGTGCGTACGTGCGCGCGTGCGTGCGCGCGTGCGTGCGTGCGTGCGCGCGCGCGTGCGCGTGTGTCCGTCCGTCCGTCCGTCCGTCCGTCCGTCCGTCCGTCCGTCCGTCCGTCCGTCCGTCCGTCCGTCCGTCCGTCCGTCCGTCCGTCCGTCCGTCCGTCCGTCCGTCCGTCCGTCCGTCCGTCCGTCCGTCCGTCCGTCCGTCCGTCCTCGTCCGTCCACTCGTCCGTGCACTCGTCCGTCCACGCGCTCGTTGCTTCAAAAACACCCCGTACGCCCCACCTCGCGCGTTTTTGAGAATTATACGTTTACGAGTTCTTAAAGGGCGGGGGGATCACTTTGGTCGCAGTTTTTGGATCACTTTGGTCGCAGCTGAAATCCACTCACTTTGGTCGTAGTTTGAGCATTTGCGGATCACTTCTGTCGCAATTTTTGGATCACTTCGGCGCAGTGGAAGATAGCTTTTTGAGCACTAACAACAGGACACACGCAAAGGGTGTTGCCTCTCAAACACCTAACAACAAGACATGCCGCGTGGGGTGGGGTCGACAAGGATGTTGCCTCTCAAACACCTAACAACAAGAACTGCCGGGTGGGGTGGGGTCGACAAGGATGTTGCCTCTCAAACACCTAACAGCAAGACATGCCGGGCGGGGTGGGGTCGACAAGGATGTTGCCTCTCAAACACCTAACAACAAGACATGCCGGGCGGGGTGGGGTCGACAAGGATGTTGCCTCTCAAACACCTAACAACAAGACATGCCGGGCGGGGTGGGGTCGACAAGGATGTTGCCTCTCAAACACCTAACAACAAGACATGCCGGGTGGGGTGGGGTCGACAAGGATGTTGCCTCTCAAACACCATAGTCAACGGCGAAGAAAGGACCGAAGCGAGCCAGCAACTAGGACTGAAGCGAACCCGCGACCTTCTTAAATTTAGCTAGCCTTTATTGGATGAAACGCGCAAGGTCCGTCATTTTGCCAAAAATCCGCAAAAGTTCTGCAGGGGCAATAGAAGAATAGCCGCAAAGATTCGGGCTTGGGCGCTTTTTTGGATGCAGCTTTTCGCAGAGCCCGCACTGAAAGCCAGGGTCCTTGAAAGACAAAGGATAAGAAGCCACAAGCATATGTCTGGAACTGCAGGACATCATGCGGAGGGTGCACAGCAAGCACGGACAGCACCTGGGCATGAATCCTGATTCAGCTTCAAGGCAGTTTCAGAATGATAGGACTACGTAATTGTAGGTGTCATTTTAAGCTCAGTTGAGTTGAAAGTTGATGGTGTTGGTTTTATTTGATTTTGTTGATTTACCAGTGCCATCTCTTTGTTCAAGGCGGGAAGGCTGCAGGTACTAAGGATTTAGATTTTTAAATTATTGGGAGGTCGTTCATGGCTGTTTCAAGGTTGGACGTTTCCCAGATAGCTGGATCCCCCCACGCCTGCCCGAACTATTTTCTGAAGTTGGTTGTTGGCGGTGTCTTTGTTTGCCAGCTGATGTCAGGCCTAACGAAAACTATTTGCCCAAAGGCGACCCTCAGAGGAAAGCACCCGGAGGAAGGTACTTCTGACGCGCGTGTTGGGAGGGTACCCTTTCTGGTTGGTTTTCATGGAAACTCAAAGGAAACCACAATTTGTGGGTTCCCATATGTTGACACAATACTATTTTGAGATGACCTTGCGGCACACACACACACACACTGTTCGCGCTTCTGATTTCTGGAGCATGGTGTTCAAGGAGATCAGCTACATAGGTTTCATCAGCATGTTTTACGTTGACATTGGCATGCTCAGTTCCCTTCCAGCATCGATAATGACACCTCGCAGCTTTAGCATAATCCGCAACGTGGTAGTTGAACAAATTTGCCGAGCTTTCAGCTTAGCGGGCAGAACTTGACATGTGGGTCACGCATCAGTTGACGTGGAACAAGATGTAAGACTGACTCCATGATGACGTGACCTTGAAATACAACTTCGCGGTCATGCGGACTTTCGTCTAAACTTGTTCTAGCTGGAACTGCACGGCAATACTTTTGTCGCACAGACTGGCATCCACTAGAGCCCAAACGTGCGGCCAGTAATGCTGCGAAGAGTGGCTTGAACCGGACAACCTTTCTCATCGCTTTCTCATCGCATGTGAGTCACATTCAAAACGAAGGTAGATGAAGGGTAGTAAGGGGTAGTCCCAGCCATACACAGGTGAGGCCGCCCTTGTTTATTATGTGCATGGATTTGGGTAGACCACTGTAACAACAGCTTTGTTTCTGACTCATGTTTTGTGTCGGAAGCACTGTTTGTAAAAACTGGAGTCCCGCACGCTCGCGTTGTCAAGCTTTTGGGGGTGTGTTGGCCCTTTCCGCCCCCAAATTGGATGTTTGGTTGACGGCAAAGACGAGATTCAGCCAATCCTTTGGTCCGGTTGGTTGGCACCTTCGATGAGAGTGAGCAAAGCGGAGCTGGACTTGGATCAGACTTCAGAGCTATCTTATCCATCATGGCTTGTTTGGCTTGATTGAAAGACCACAAAGCAACGCAAACAACCCAACGCTGATTCTAGCCCATAGCGACTGTTTCAGTTTGCCCCCTGGACATATGAGTTCAGAAGCGAGGCAGTACTTTCACTACCGGATGCTCCCGAAGGCCCGCGGGTTACCGCTAACAACTAAAACCTCAGTTGCCCAAAGCCGACCTTTTGACCTTTTGGTTTTCCCATGTTGGTCCAGTTTTAGTGAAGGTGCCAAAAGGTCAACTTTTTTACTTTTTTTTCTGGGTCCCTTTTGGGCAAGTGAGAAGCGGACGGGGAATGGGTGAGCTCCCGATTGCTGAAATTTCAATCTTAGATCCACACGTCAACGGACGGGGTGGGGAGCGACAAGGGGGCTCTTCGCGGTCGGAACCTTGCTCACGGGTCTGTCCTCTGGAAAGTGTGCTTGAGAGTCGTCTGCTTCATGGAGGGACGTGCTGATTAGAGTGTGGTTTGGTTGGCATTGTGCTTCGTATTGCTCCAGTTTCCAAGACAAGGATCTAAACTACAAGGGCATGTGCGAGTTGTGTTGTCCTCTAGCACATGTTTACAGTTATTGCAGGCTGAGGGCTTTCGGGCCATTTCGCTAGAGCATGTCTGGGAGCTTGGGAAGCATTTGGGGCAGGCCATGTTGACCATTGCTGGCAAACAGGAACTTTCAACTGGGGTCTCTTCCAAATGCCTTTTGCATTTTAGGATCATTTGGACTGGATTCAATCTGTCATCAGGTGCAACTGCAGACTTTTTCAGGAGATACGAGCCCCTGCGATCAGATGGTAAAAACCCTTCCTGGGACCTTCAGTTTCCTCCCGGGATTGCTTCATTCGCCGGGACCCAAGCGCAACCGAGAGAGCCAGGGACATGGGATGCAATAGCCCCATCGCCACGTCACAAGCTCTGATTCTCCGACACATGGCATTCGCAAGTGGGGAACCTCCTTCAAGGTACTGTGTTTGATAACTTTCACAGGTAGTGGAGCTATCTTATCTGGTGGAAGTACATAACCCTTGTCACACCCCTTGGTTTCCTGGTTGCCAACCCACGCACGGCCGGTTCCAAGTACTTTCTGATGTGCTTTGTTTCATTTTCACTCGGTTCAGTACATCCTCAGGTATTTGGACCCATCTCTGTTAAAAAGACGGATTTCAACAAGCTTTTGGAGTCATTTGCAATTTTTCTCGAGTCTTCGGCAGGACTCCAGCGCGAGCGCCTCGCTGGACGCTCAAGGGAGATCTGGCTTCTGGTTAGCTCCTGCCCCTATACCAATTGGTGTGAGCCCTGTGCGTGGCCATAGGGCCATAAACGGGGTCGTCTAAGCTGCATGAGATGCGCAAGATCAAGAGGTTGGCGAGTGTTACTTGAATGGCATGCTGACCAGGCTGTCGTGAGAATTGAGGCATGCTGTAAAAGTGTCTCCCACAAAGGATGCGGCCCACTGGGCTACTTCGGTCGCAAGTAAGGTTCTTGTATCAGATGCTCTGTCATTCATGGCATGCACCCACCCACCGTGCCAATAGGCGCACCCATATCTTACGCCTGCTCCGCACTGTTTTGCTGCACATGTTTGGAGCCGCAATTCAACTATGACATGGAGCACTCAATCCGGTCGCTTTTCCCAAGGTCTTGAATGGGGAGAGGGCATGAATTTGATGTGATACTGAATGTGTTGTATGGCTGACTGTGATTGGGGAGCCTCTTGGCTTCCCTTCCCGCAAAGAGCTCTGACACATGTCCACGAGAGAGCAAGCTCAATCAGCCAACTCACGCGAAGAAGTCCCCATGAAAAATAGAACATGCTCTGTTGCGGTTCAGTGATCCAACACGGATTGGAGGGGGGAGATGAGAGGCTGCCAAATGCTTACAAAGACAATGCCCCGCAACCCTCAAGCTTTGCCATGCCCGTCTTCAGGAACCATCCCATGTTTGGGTGTTCCGCTTCTTGAGGGTTTTAGAATTTTGAAGGGGAAAGCTGGGCCTGAGTCTGCAAAAGTGCTGCATCTGCCACGAACACACAACTGAGGCTGCCAAAGTGTTGCGCCTGTCACGAAATCTCAGCACCAAAAGTGGAAAGTGCTGCGCATGACGCACAATCTGTACCTCAGGTTGCCGAAGTGCTGCGCCTGTCATGGAAATGTATGTCGCGAAGCGCAGGCGTGTCCGTGCCAATGAGGCGCCTCGACAGAGTAGTTTTGAGCCAGCCGGCGAGGCCAAAGACGGAAGAGGAGACGCATCATGCTTATTTGGTTCTCGCATGCGTTGGTTCCTTCATCTGAGAATGTTTTCTTTGCGCAGAGCCTTATTAAATAGTGTCCTTCGGAACTTCCTTCTACACTTGCCTTGGCGCTCGTAGCGTGATTTAGGCAAAAGCAAGAAACACATCAGGTAACCCTTAGTTGGTGAATGGGAAACCCCTCCTAACCACCAAACCTCCAAACCTCCAAACCACCAATCCACCAATCCAAACCACAAAATAGAGGGAAGCTGAACTGATGTCGGGTGAGCTTGAGTAACGCCTTTCCTTGAGTCGTCTCGCTGAGGCTGCGGCCCAGTCTCTCTATGCGCCTTCGCGAGGCAACGAGGGGGAACTGTATTGGCTGTCGCACTAATGGGTGTGTGTAAAAATGGGGAGAGGCCAAAGATAGGGAGTCCTTTTCGTTTCCCTTTACACCAATAGGCCAATAGGGTGTCTCCTTCTGGTTCCCTTGCACCAAGGGAAAGAAGGATGTCCTCAAACAAAACACGACTCAATGGGATGCCTAGACCTGCCACTGCACTTTTTCCTTTTTTGGGGAGAGTATCCCTTTGATCTCAGCTACTAGTAGCAGAACAAATGTACTTGTTTGATTATTTTTGCCCATGACCGCTGGAGGTCCGGGATGTGTCAAAGCCAGCGTCCCTCCTCATCTTGGTCCCCCTTTGGTACCCGACAAGGATATGTTGTGTTTACATGAATGCCAAACGGTAGTTGCAGTCAACCCACCAAAAGCGAGGTTATAATGACAGGGAATTTTCAGCATGCTGCCCCCCTTGCAAGATTCATTTGGCCATGGGTCAAAATCCCGTACCCCCAGTGAACGGTGCACCTACCCCAAATGGTACCATTGGTTTTGACTCACAGCCATTTGTGACTGGAGGATTTCTCATGGAAAGCAGTTCGCTTTGGTTTAGGCTGGCCATGTCTGGGGAGGGAAATTCCTGCCGGCAAACTCATGTTGCCTGCCTGCAGCTACTCACCAGCATGGATCCTCCCAAAAAGGGGGTGATCCAAAAGGAGATGCATCCAACACAGGCGTTGCTTTTGTTAATCTGCGGGGTGTACAGTGCCATAAGTTATTTTTATACGTTCAACTGTGAAGAAGCTTACTCACACTGAGTAAGATCTTGGAGACTTGGCGGGAGGGTCTCTTTCTGCGCAGAAAGAGACACTCAACTTCACAGCACACACAAAAAAAGCACGCCAACCTTTCGCCTGCATGGGCTCTTGGCGATCTCTCAGTTTGTTTTTGGCACTTTCTTGGCCAGGACTCCAGGGTGCTGATTGGATTCTCTGTCTTGGGCATTTGTGTCACACATATGATTCGGCCCCCCGTTCTCCATGGCATTGTATGGGATAGTCCATCAACTTTGCGTGACGAGAAGGATTGGCTGCCTTGAGGCGTGGCTACTTTGCATGATTCCTGGTTCCTTGCATGGTCAGGTGATTGTTCTTGCCTGTTTGGCCGTTGATCCTTCTGCGTTTAGCTGCCTGCCTGAACTGTTTGCATGTGTGTGTGTGTATGTGTGTGTGTGTGTCGTTGTGTGTGTGTGTGGGTGTCTCCGTTGCACAGCAGCTTGTTGGCCATACTCTCAAAAGGAGAGAAGAGCGGAGGCGAGAGGAGCTCCGTTGCTTTGTCTGCCAAGCTTTTCTTCGGATACTCTACCATCCGTGGCACGATTTCAGGCAGCGATGCAGAGCGAGCCCAATTCGATTCCAACAGACTCTTGCCCGCTTGATACTCTGATTTTGCCGCAGAGAGTACGTGAAATGCCTAAGTAAACTGAGTCACACCGAGTCATTGACCTGCAGTGAGACTTTCCGGTTGGCATGGGTGTGTGTGTGTGTGTTTCCTCCGCTCATTTGGGAGCACCGAACAGGCCCAGAGGACCGTGGGTCTATGTGACGTGTGTGGCTGTCCACTTGGAACCAGAGGCCAAAAGAGGTGTTTCTCCTCCTCACACCACTGTGAAACATCAGGAGGCGGTTTGTGATGCGGGCTCACATTTTTTCTGGCCCCTTCTGAGAATTCATTTTTGGGTTGAGGGGACCTGTGGAACCAAGTTTTTGGGCTCTACCTTGAGGAGCACCGATCGTTTGCGGGACACTGACTGTCACTGGCCGTCAGGTCACTGGCCGCTGAACCATTGCAGCGCAGAGAAAAACAAGTGGACGATGGCCATGCGGGCAACCCCCAACAACGGCGTATTTTGGTTGTTTTTTTTCTGTTTGTTTTTGCGGATACCCAAACCGGCCTGGTTTAGAGGCAAATCACCAGCGAGAACCGATGGATTTGGCCCCCCCCCGCTGCGCTTTTGCTGGGAAGCTACATTCTCCAGATTCCGCATAGGGACATCCCCACATGTGGGTGTGCATTTGTTTGGGGAACATCTTTGTGGTTGGTTTAAAACCGAAGCCAAAGGAAACTGTTTTTGTTGGGATTTGTTGGAAAACACTCAGGTTGTATTGCAATAGCGCAACCAGTGGCGAAACTTGAGCAGCAAGACATCTTAACACAAGAGTTTGCCTATATGACGAGCTCACCTGGGGTTGCATATTACCCCCCAATTGCAGTTTAGTCAGGGTGACTTTTGGTGCTGAGGTGTCCCAAATGCTTGCTAAACGAAAAGAAGGACACATAGAACATGTTGTAGAGCTAGATTTGCCAATCTGCAGCTGGAGCTGCAGAAGTGTACTTCGTTTACTACGCATGTACTGAACAGTCGCGCTTTCGAGCTGAAGCTACGCTTGCGCTGAAAAGGTGGAATTTTCGAGCTGGAGAAGTGTACTTTGTTTACTTCACTTGTGCTGAAACGTTGCGATTTCGATCTGGAGCTAAGGAAAGTGCTGGGGATCGCTTGCTTCTGGTTTTCGGAATCGCTGTAGAATTTGCAGAGAGGTGGGCAACGTGATGGTTGGCTGAAATCAACGCGGGCATGCAACTCAGACAGCCATGCTGGCCACAACTGGAGCAGGTGTAAAGAAGTAGGTTCAGTCTAGCGAAACCTTGCTTGTTCCATTGTTGTTGGTGGGTTTCGCTACCATAGATCACGAATTATGGACACCATTGCCCTTCACTACGAGCCTCCCCCTCCCAAATTGCAGATCTCAATGTTGAAATCCTCTGCCAGGGCCCTGGCGTGCGGAATTAGCGAATAGTGCAACATTTGATATCTGGGGTGCGGAGGTTCACAATTGTTTGTCCATCTACTGTCGCACTCTGTCGTCCGCGTCTTATTTTCTACCCGCTCTGCTCGGCAACAAGGCGACTGTGCTTGTGTTGTAACTCTTTGGCCCATCCCCAATTCTATAATATGGCAAGGCTGTTCCAACCCAGGGTGTGTCATATTTTGGCGTGGTTTGGGATGATAGCCTCCAGGCTGGGTAGTTTCGACCTCGGTGCCCTGGGCTGAGTTTCAACGCGTTTTTGGGACAAGACAACGACATGTTCGGCTGTGACTCACGGGCTGCAATAGGGGCAACCAAAAGCCGATGAATGCACGATTCAATTTGAGCAGCTCTGCTTCACTGCTAATGCGTGTGAGACTGATGACGTGAGCAGAGGATGTTGGGCTATTTTTCGGCTATTTGTTTGGCGCGCAGCGCAGTCACGGGGCGCGGGAGCGCCAATCGTTTGCGGGGCACAAGCCTGGCCTGGCACTGATTGCGGACAGCGGCGGGCGGGTCCGCTAACAGGCACGTTATGAGTAGCAGTTGGCCCTAAGCCTTGCATTGACATGCGATTTTCGGCGCCTGGAAATATTTCTTGTGGGATTGCGCGCGTCTGTGGCCCAGGCTTTAGGATCTGAGACACTTTCTCCAAGCAATGCTACTGAAACAGAGGGCAATCGTATTGTTGATGTCCGTGCCGCGCAGGGCAAGACCTGTTTTTCCTTGAAGCCAATGAGACCTGTTGGCAGGCACCCACATGAAACGCAACCCGTGGGAGTTGCCACAATGAGCTCCGAAACAAACACGAGTGGCCACTTCAGCCAGGCAATCTTGAGACTCACATGCATGGCCATGGGGACGCGCCAGCTTTCTGCCTCCTGAGCGGCGAAGCTATCCGCTTGACGCCGAGATTTTGGGAAGAGGGGTGAGGCACGACAGGGTTAGCAAGCGAGGCATTGGAAGGACACTTGCGACCATCCTTTGCACCTAGTTGTTGCTCGCATTGTGACATTCAGATGAATGATGCCACGGCCCACATGAGAAGGACTTGCGCAGAGGCACATGCCACACACGGCCAGACATTATTATAAGGTTCCCATAATTTTCCTTTTTGGCTTTTTTAAACATCACCTTTGTGGCGCATGAAGGGTGAGTGTCCCTGGGTGGGGTGATGTTTGAAGCGGAAATATGGGGCGCCTTCAACTGTTTGAACGTGCCTCTACCGCTTCCTGAGAAGGAGGCTCTGCCAATGGACGCCCTTCACGTCCTATCTGTGTGTCACCGTTGTTTTGGCAGGGCTAGTAGTATAGTTGGTCCTGTTTAGAAAAGTTTCACTCTGTTCAACATGTCTTCAACGATTGGCAGCTGTTTGTGTGATGTTTGCGCTAGTTAAAGCTAAAAGAAATCACAAACTGCGTGGATAGAACATGTTCAGCGTGGCCGTGTGTAAGCAACCAGGTGTGCAGGCCGAGCATTGCAGAGGAACAGCTGGACCCTATTTGTTTGGCGCTTTTCGTATGGTGCTTGAGGCATTGATGTCTTGGATGGCGGCGTGGCTGCTGCCAAAGCTCAACTTGCTCGGCAGCTCAAAGTTTGTGAGAGCTATTTGGAAGCGCGCCATGTGTGTGTGTGTGTGTGTGTGTGTGCGTGTGAGATACTGAATGGGCGCTCGCCCTTGCGGATCTTGGGCAGCTGTTTCCCTTGAACCCCTTGCCAGTCGTAGTTGTGGTCCAAGGATGGTGAGCAGCGCAAAGGACTTTTTTCTCGACACCGGCGTGTTCAACGTTGAGTTCTTTCAATCACGTGGGTTACGTACGTCAGCGATTCGGCAATTTTGTGTCGCGGTGGCTGATTTCAAACAAACGCGGGATGCTCGCCTTGCGTGACTTTCGACTGTATTCTGCTCAGCATTGAGTTTGCAAGCAGCCGCTTGGAAACTAGCTTGCAAAGTAGACGGCCGTGGTTGGTTGCCCAGCGATCAGTGCTTGCACCCAGGAAAGCAATGTCAAACACACGTTTCTTCTTTTTTTATTTTTTATTTTTGTGTGTCTGTTTACTAGTATATATATATATATACATATGTACACACATTTATTGTGCCCTCCTCCCAAAAGCTACGTTTTCCGACATATTCGCTACGTTTTCTCAGTCAGAACCTCAAGAAGTAGGAGTTGCTTCTACTTTTGATTCACTGAACATTCCAGCTGTGGCGGTGGTAGGATCGGTTTTGTCCTTTTTGTGTTTTGTGGCTTTGTTCCAGTGGAAATGCTGCGCAAAAATGTCCCAATGTTGCGCCACATGTTGGCAGACCTTGCAAATTTGACCAAAAAAGCAAAAACACAACACAACTTTCAAGCTTGGGTGGGAGATTGTTTGGCGCGGTGGGAATGTTGGGCAGTATGCGCAAAAACGGTGTGCAACTGTTTTTGGCCCGTTGATGCCCGTTGAAATGCAACTCGGCCAAAAGTTGGACATCATGTGCAACCTGTCACGCAATATTTACCATAATTTGCGCAGTATGTGCGAAACAAACGCAAGATTTGCGACATTTCCACAAACTCATATTCAATTTGTGGAAAGATGTTAGCACCAGTTGCTAATTTGAACTAGATAAACAACACAGAAATTAGATAGGAATTGTTTACGGCATGTCACTGTAAATAGAGTTGGGTTATAACGTACATGGTATCATACAACATAGAGCGAAGTAGAATGTACATGGAGCAGAGTAAGGACATGGAGTTCCTCAGAGAGTAATTAGTTTGAGTTACTTCAAGCAGGTCTGCTGATTAATTACCAAAGGAGAACAGTCAAAAACGATAATGTGGCTATTACCGGCACGTTGAAACTGCCAACGTTCCCTGATTGAGCTGGAGCTGCCAATTGCTCACTGCAAGAGGAGGCTCAGGCTTCAAGATGGCAAGTAGATCTGGGGGATCTTGAATAATAGAACCCATTTACCCCAAAGTGGTTTTAAAGTCAGAAGATTCTGAAGACATATTTGTGGGGAATCTGAATCTCAACTGAAAAGTGCAAACTTGGTAGGTTTTGGGAGGGGGTAGTGTATTATATATAGATATGTATCATTATAGTTAATATTAACATATATATATATATATATTATATAAATGTAATCTTAAAGATGGTGCAGCTGACAGAGAACCCTTTTGATGTTTACCGCTGTTTTGGCTGCGCAAACCTTCGGGATGCAACCATGTTCGGACCGCCCCCGCCTAAGACCCCCACCACCCCCCCCAAAGACCCCCACCAAGCCTTGAGCGCGAGACGTGCCGGCCAAGAACCGGAGCTTCCGATGTGTGCAGCGGCGTGTTTGCTTCCGGACGGGCCAGAAATTCGCAAAATCTGGGGATTCGTGGGCCCAAGCTTCCCCCAAATGTCCTATTGGGGAAGGCCAAGATCTCTTGTTTGATATCGTATAGCTTCAAGGTGCACATGCACAAGAAGCTAAAAAGGGGGCTTTTCGGGGGCCAAAACCAGCCATGTACACTTTCCACTTTGGTTCTCAATCAGTGGTGGGTGGTTTGGTTCCTTCGTATGCGGGTGAACAACTTCACTGGGTCGGCAAACGCTGAGGTGTTCAGGTCTGTCGGTTGGACATTCAGGCTCACGTAAAAACTAGAGTCTAAAAACTACAATTTTTGGAAGCTGAGGTACCATTCTGGATCATTGATCCTCAGCTTCCAACGGATCACGCTTAGATTCTTCTGTTCTTTGATCTCTGGTGAGCATGGCCACTGGTCTCCCATTTGTCTTTGCCCCCAAAAATACAAGATGGAACCCTGGTAAGTGGCAACATGGACCAACACCTGCGGTTTGCCCCTCCTGCTTGATTTTGAGCCACACCCACTTTTGCTTTTGGAGGGGGGGCATCTTTGGGGGTTTTGGGTCATTTTTGGTCATAGGTCTAGTTTTTTGGGGCCAGGCGAGGCCACTGCTTCGATTCTCCCAGATCTGAGGCGGCAGAGCTCGGCCTGG